TGAAAGATGATTTATTTGGATATGAATAGATTTGACTGGCGTGCTAGTGGTATTTATTGGTCAACTCCAAAAGAAAATTTCAAGACTCCACAGGTAAGCAACCCTATAGAACAGAGTAGAACTGCCCCATAGTGTTTCCAAGGAGTGGCTGGTGAATTTGAACTGCTGACCTTTTGGTTAGCAGCCAAATGTTTAACCCCTGTGACACAAGGTCCCCACAGATAGTAACTATGGAAAAGAAGAAAGAGATGGAGGGAGGAAGGCAGGTAAAAAAATAAATAAAAAGAAGAAAATCCATTTCATCATGGTAGCATTTCTTATATAATAAGGTCTCAGCTCTCCACTATGAACTCCATCACAGTCAATCCGGTTCCTTATTTCTGAAGAGCACGCAATGATTATCCTGGACTCTACTGCATGTCTTACCCCCTCTCAATCCAATAATTAAGTTATTTTTTCACATATAAATTCTATTTCATCTTTAAGGTCCAGACCTCCCACCTTTCCCATACAGTTTTTATAGAACACTAAATTGTTAAGATTTAATGGAAACTTAATTTGGGATTGCTGCTATTTTAAGCACTTTATATACTGTATCTCATGTATTTAGCAAAACACTATGAGGAAAGTCTCATCCTCATTTAACAGATGAGGAAACTGATGCTAAAGGAGGTTACGTATCAAGGTTCAAGTGCAAAATAACATTTCTGCACTCTCGTGTGCCTTAACTTCTTTAATAAGAATTATAAATTTCCCAAACAGATTATAAGGCTCTATAGAACAGGGATTCTGTATTCTGTGGAAGAGTTTCACCCTTTGTACCGGGGATACTATAATCAGACCAGTCAATATGGTGTTATAAGTAGAGCAAAGGATTTTTTGAGACCAATCCTCAGCTCTGCTACTTACTTTTTAGCTAGCAATGTGTAAATAATTTAATCTTTTTGAGATTGTTTTTTCTTCTGTAAAACAGAGCTAAAAATATCTCCCTCCTGATTGTTGTAAAAATTGAGTAAGATGATAAATGTGATAAGTGACTTGTGAATCATAAGCACAATAAAAATCTTAGTCAATATTATTAATAAGCATTTGTTGAGTGACTTAACCATATGTGCACCCTCTTAATAAACTACCATATTTTATGCAAATAATGTGCACCTTCTGCGTTTGTTTGCCGGCCGTGCCCCCCTGCGAGGTATTTTTATAAGCACACTATGCTAATTTTTTTATAGTAACATGTCGATGAGGATTGGCATGGCAGCGCTTGTGAGGGTGCCTCTTGGGAAGGGAGAGAGGGCACAACCAGCAAACAAACACAGGAGGTACCTGTTATTTGCATAAAAATATGGTATTCAAAATTCTTCCCTGAGAGTAGGCAGTTGAGAAGAAAGTGAGATTTAATACAATTGTGAAAGGATTCTGGATGTAAATCTGTTAATTACACTCCATTCACAATGATGTTTTCAGCTCAGGGTGTGACGACATCACTGAGGTAACTTTTCCCAAAAATAAAAAGAACTCCATCAGCCTCCGCTGGAAGTATCACCTTACTGCAGGTGGAGATTGGCTGAGGCCTGCAAAGATGTGACGTCACACACTGTTGGATCACCAGATGAGAAGAGAAATAACAGCAGAAATAGGTGTTTTCCTCTGAGATTTAATGAGCAGGAAAGTGGAGGCGTTTTATTTACTAGCTGCCACAAGCATAGACTAGTATTTTTTAGGCTCTCAGTTATAAAAACTAGAATACTGCTTTGAATGATAAATATATATTATATGATTTAATTTAATGAAAATATAACCAGCAAACCCAAGAACATTGTCTAAAAGCACTAGACATAACATTTTGTTAAAAGTCAATGAGAAATGGACAATTAAAGTAGTTATTGATTAGATTCAAGTTTTTTTTCTTTTTTTATTTCACTAACTGACTATATATTAGTTGCTAGTTTTATGGAATATTCTCTACAACCAGAAAATTCATCTAGCTTAATATGTTCTTATATTTTCAAATATTCTTATGTTATAGAAAATACATTAAACAACTAAAATTGCTTATGACCTTCTTCCAAAGAAAATAATTAGAAACCACAGTTGAAAGGATCCAGGGAGTGTTCTGGAAGGTGGGACTTACATACCTGCAAACATCAACTCCGAAACATCGGGTTTGACATGGAGACAGGTGAAAAGGGGTAAAGGGCATTGTGCAGTATCGATTTTTTCCTTCAAACTACTTAAAGTAGCGTTCATTCTCTGTCCGTAGAAGAAAGAAATGATTTTAAATACACAAACAGATACAGATAGAAAGCTATTTAAAATAGTATTTCCTATTTGAGAGTTTGTTAAAATAATATTTTATAATAAAAATAAGTCTTATTACATCTAGAAATCTCCAGGTCCTAAGTAAACAACAAAAAGTAAGCTCTACGGAAGTAATTATCTTCACTCTAAAAGCAACCATAACTCAAGGGACTATATCTACATTTGACTGGAGAAGGGTTTTACAACTATGGAACCCAGAAAGAATTTAGCCCCAGGACTGACTCCCTGGCACCCACAGATTCTTCTCTATCTCCCCCGTTTTATCTTCAGAAGAAATGTCACACTATAGTCATGCATCAAGTGGGTTTGTTCCATGTGATCCACTTCCTTTTCTCACTCTATCTCAAGGTAACTTGCATTCTTCCTCTACTTTAAACATATTTCCTGTATTCACTTCCTCGTCTAAAGAGATTTCCATTGGGTGGGTGGGAGTGGGCAGGCAATCACAAGTCAATATGTGTATTTTCCAAAGACAAGGAAAACAAAAGCCTCCCCACGCATCAAAACTAATACATAGTTTGAGTGAATTAATAAGCACAAGTTTGAAATGTAAAAGCAGTTGTAATATATGGCACAGAATATGTGCTCAGTACACATTGTTGAGGAAACCCTGGTGGCATAATGGTTAAGGGCTATGGCTGCTAAACAAGAGGTTCGCAGTTCGATTCCACCAGGCATTCCTTGGAAATCTTATGGGGCAGTTCTATGCTGTCCTGTAGGATCTCTATGATTCAGAATTGATTCGACAGCAACGAGTTCGGTTTTTTTTTTTTTTTTTTGACATGTTAATGAAAGAATAAGCTGAGTCAAGTGATTTTTATCAAATGTATCTTCTTTTCTTTAATTCAAAACATTACGATATATATTACCTACTTGTATTATTGAAAGAATTGTAGATTTAACCATAGCTTACACTGTGAATTAGTGTTTCTCCTATTAACATCCCAAAGATATCAGTAAAGGTGACAGGTTGCCCAGAGCTTTTCTTCTTCCATAAAGACTCAACATATCTTTTAATTTTCTGTGGTGTGAGAAGTAAAAGGGGGTTGTGGCTAACATTTTTCATTAACTCTTCATTAATCTCCTCTGGTCCTTTCTCTGGAAAATCAGGATCAGAATATAAGGTTGACATGTACCTGTACAGAAAACAAAACATAACGAAGATAAAGAGCATACATAATAGTTTTCAAAGAAAGTAGGCACCGTCTGTCATAAGAAAAATAAAAAATGGAGGAAATATTTGGTTAATTTAACTATCCGATTGAAGATATTAATATGTTTAAAGAACAAGGACATCATGCTTGGTAAATAGAGGGCAAACAGAAATGAGGGAAACCTTCAATGAGATGGATCGGCACAATAGCCACGACGATAGGCTCAAACATACCAAGCATGATGAAAACGGCACATTACTGGGCAATGTTTGGTTCTGTTATACATAAGGTCAGCATAAGCTGGTGCTGACTCCATGACAACTAACAGCAACACCAGCACCACCAAAGCACAAATAGACCAATCAGACCAGAACTGGTCTACAAAGGAAGTAAATTAAAGGTGAGATCTCAGAGGAAATGTTGGACTGTCCAGAGGAGACAGTGTCCTGGTAGGCCTACTCCTTAATGTCTAGTTTTCCATGGATGTGTCTCATTATCAGACTACCACAGCCTGATGGCACAGCACATTTGAGTCACGTATCTAAGTGGATTAGTCTTGATGCAATACTAGTCAAGCAATGGCATAATCTATGAATAGGTAGAAAACGTGCTGTCCAGAGTATTGTGAATGCCTAATTCTCCTCACCAATGCAGTTTTTTTTTTTTCAGTTGACCAACTTTCTGGTTTTAATCATCCTTCTGTTGTGAACTTTGTTAGTGGTGTACAGAATCCCAAGCCCTCAAGCCTTAACAAATGTGGGTCTCTGCATTTCTGAGCATAAAAATTTGAAGCTGAAATCCTGGAAAGGCATAAGGTCATTAAGGTAAATGCCTCCTTGTGAAGCCTCTTAGCTACCAGCCATTGACCACTTCTAGCTATACTGGAAATCACTATGTGTTTTGGTGTTTTATATTTAGACAATAAATATTCAGTTAACGTCCTCTTTCCTAGTTCCCATAGTGAACATTCATTATTTACTTACGACTCTGTCTTTCTTAATAAACTGTGAACTGCTTGAAGGAAAGAACTTTACTTATCCTTTTTTTTTTTGTCTCAGTGACAAGCATATGGTAAACACACTATATTGAACTGTTAAGCTGAGAGAACAAAATAAAATGAAAATAATAATAATAAGCATTCCAGATGCTTTGTCCAACCGAAGAGAAAATAGCACGTTTTAATCTCCTATTTCCTTGTGATTCAAATCAACATGTCTATCATAATGGTTTATCTTCCCTTCAGAGGGAGGAGAAAACTGATTCTGTTTGGGTCCCTACTAACTTCTAGGTAGTGGGCAGGTTAATTGCTTATATGCTTTGTCTTGAAGACTCACAACGGCTTTCAATTCAATTTAAATTTAATGATGAGGAAAGAGAGGATTGGTGAATTTAAATAACATGCTCCAAGTTCCCCTAATTAATAATTGCAGAATTAAAATTTAAGTTTTGTCCTCTACCAGCTGGTAAATTTTATTTATTTTTCAATCTTTTATATAGAATTTCAGTTTTAGAAACCGAATTATTCCCACTTGACATAAAATTAGAATTTCTTGCTGAATTCAGAGTTCCTTGAAGACAAATTGAGAATAATTATAAGTCAGTAAATGGGAGAGTGACAATAGATACAAAATGGAATACATATTTAGCAAAAAAAAAAAAAAAAAAATTCAAACCCTAAAAATACCTTTATAATACAAATTGGATTCCTAAGCATTTCCACAAACGCGTAGTAAAGATAAACCAAATGGCTTCTCTGAACTCAATCCTAGTATAATCACCAAGTATCTATCAAAATATAGCTTAAATTGCTTGAAAGACACATAAGCCATTCATTCTAATAATTATCCCAAAGTCCACCACACGATTCATCCAAATCAGCAAAGATCTGATTTTCTGGACCTTGTCATCCTTTTTAATGAAAGGTGCACTGGCATAATGACATTGGTTTATATTTAAGGCCATCATAAAAATGGGAAAACAAAACATTCGTTTTTTAAAAAATTCAGGAAATGATTCATTCTTTATTAGAATAGTAAGGATAAATTCTTGACTGGTCTTATTACCTCCGTGGACCACTGGCCTACCCTTAACTTATTAACAATGTGTATTATGTAACTGTACAAAGGTTTCATTTTGTTTTGATGTCTAAACCCACTGCCATCCAGTCGATTCGGACTCAAGGCCACCCCATAGGGTTTCCAAGGCTGTAACTCTCTAAGGAAGCAGACTGACACATCTCTCTCACAGGGAGTTGCTGGTGGTTTCCTACTGCTGACCTTTCAGTTAGCAGTCAATCACTTTAGCCACTGTGCCACCAGGGCTAGGAAGCTTAAATCCAAACCCATGGCTCATGCCTCCCAAATCTATAGAATACAGCATGAATTTTTAATGTAATTTCTAGCTACATTTTTTTCTCTTCTGTCTTTAATGTATGTAATCTAGTTTTACTTTATATAAGCTACATTATATTCTTTCCATATTGAGTTAGGGTAAAAATAAGCAAAACAAACAACAATCTAGTGTCAGTAGACATCTAGGTACAGAGTATTTTGTTTTGTTTTGTTTTTTTATTGCCAGGTGAAAGGAAATAATATGATCATTCTGCTATTAGAAGTTGTCATTCCTTACTGTTCAGTAGAGTGATGCAATTATTCAAATCTCCCTTATAAGATTTCTAGTTTCAATCTATATTTAGCTGGTCTTTAAACGAATCAATTTATCATTCTAACAAATATCTCTGTCCTATAGATTGCCACTAGCAAAATCTCAAGGCTCTTCTCTTCTCTTCCCTTCCACCAAAGTTAACCACTGCACCTAGATCAAGAAAATCCATCTGAAGGCAACGGGTTGCTCAATATCTGGGACTCTGTGCCGGTTTTTCAGCCCAATTCTCTTTTTTCCTTCCCTGCAGAATGGTTACAATTAATTCATTTCTGCTCTGTAAAGGTTAAAGTGAACTCACTCACCAGTATTCTCTCTCTCCCTCTCCTCTCCCATGAAGTAATTGGTTTGGAAATACAAGCCCTGGTAAGAGACAAAATAACCTAGGCTACCTCAACCATCAGCACTGGTTAAATGCTCTCAGCTTGTTCAGCATTTATGAATCTATAGCCCTTAGAATTTGCAAGTGTGAGTTGGACAGCTTTTTCACAGTGTCATTGTGGTTATAGCCAAGACTTGGGCTTTTGTTTTGGTGATAACTAAAGATGGAGTAGTAGGCATTATGACCAATTTTGCTTTCTTTGTTTCCTTGACTGCACCAAGACATTTGAAACACAAAAATATCATCCCAATTTCTAACGCTATAGTTAAACCTAAGTTATAATCACTTTATTAATATGACTCCCAATAATATCAATCAGGTTCCAGAAAAAGAGTTTCTTAAATATAGCAGGGCCTCTATAAAGGCTGAGGAGCCTGGGTGGTGCAATGGTTAAGCACTTGGCTGCTAACTGAAAGATCTGTGATTCAAACCCACCAGCTGCTCAGCAAGAAAAAAGACCTGGTGATCTGCTCCCCTAAAGATTACAGGCTAGGAAACTCTATGTGGCAATTCTACTCTGTCATATAGGGTCGCTATGAGTCAGAATCAACTCGACAGCATACAACAACAACAATAAAGGGTTAATTAATGAATGGAAAGATCTTAAATTTCTTTCTCTGTAAATCTGGAAAGATTTGCCTCTGACTGTTTCAACATATTTACGTAATGGGACACCTGATTCTGTCCACATAAAATGCATTTAGGTTAAGTGTGAAATTTAAAAAGTTAAATTACGTCAGAGGGTAAAGACTTCTCAGTTCAGGCCATGCCCCAAAATCATGTGGGTGAGGTTTTAAAAGCACCAATGCCTGAGTCCCCCCAGGACTTGCTGAATTAGAATCTTCAAGGGTGAACACTTAGAATTTCTGTGCTTAAAATTACCACAAGTGCTTCTTACGTATCACTGAGATTTAGAATGGCTGGGGAAAACCCTTGACATTTGAGAAGTAAATATCCTAACACCCGAAAGAAATCTCTACCTTAATTTTCCCATAAAAATGCAGTTACATATGCATTTCATCATTCAGTCATTAAACAAATATTACCTAAGGCAGACCAGGAATTGTGCAAGGCGGGAGATATTCACTAGTGAACAAGACAAACATTGTTCCCACTTCAAACAACATATTATTTCCAACTTATATCTTGATTTTTTTAGCCTGTCATGTCTTATGTGCCAGCTTATGTTAAAATTGTCTCTTTTTTTCAATGTTCCAGAATTCTTCAGACTTTTTAACTGAAAGGTCTCATTCTTTGATTCCATTTTAGTTAGTTTAATGAGTCTGACCCTATTGCCTATAGAGGCAGAGCTTTTAGATGGTGTCATGGATTGAATTGTGTCCCCCAAAAATATGAGTATCAATTTGGCTAGGCCATGATTCCTAGTATTGTGTGACTGTCCACCATTTTGTCATTTGATATGATTTTCCTATGTGTTGTAAATCCTACCTTTATGATGTTAATGAGGTGGGATAGGAGGCAGTTATGTTAATGAGGCAGAACTCAATCTACAAGATTGGATTTTTGTCTTGAGCTAATCTCTTTAGAGATATAAAGGAGAGAAGTGAGCAGAGAGACAGGGGCACCTCATACCACCAAGCAAGCAGTGCTGGGAGAACAGGGCACCCTTTGGACTGGAGGTTCCTGCACTGAGAAGCTCCCAGACCAAAGGGAGATTGATGACAAGGACCTTCCTCCAGAGCCGATAGAGAAACAAAGACTTCCTTGGAGCTGATGCCCTAAATTTGGACTTGTAGCCTACTACACTGTGAGAAAATAAATTTCTCTTTGTTAAAGCCATCCACTTGTGGTATTTCTGTTACAGGAGCACTAGATGACTAAGACAGATGGTAATGTCACACAAACAAGTAAGTGAATATCCAATAGCTCCTTAGACCAGTGCCCAGCTATGCTGAGGAAGAAAGCTGTGCTAACTCAAGTTGAGAGAACACAGAACAATTATCATGATTCTCACAGTTCACTCATGTCTGTTCTACTGGTTGTCTAATGCATATATTTAATGAACAAGTATCATCCAAAAATAATTTCAGAAGTAATTACCATAAAGGTAGTAGTAGATAAAAGAGAAGCTTTTGTCCTACCTAAAATTCTCTTTTGTGATCATAGAAATTTTCTGGAAGTTCTAGGGATTCTCCAGATATTTCCGGATCATGGAGACCTTACGTGTGCAGAGTAGAACTGCTCCATAGGGATTCCAAGGCCTTCAGAAGCAAATCCCCAGGCCTGTCTCCCAAGGTGCCTCTGGGTGGGATGGAACTGTCAACCTTTCAGCTAAGTAGTCCAGCACTTAATCATTTGCACTGACCACGGAACTTGAAGTGGTATCAGCAAATAACTTCACAAATTGCTGAAATTACCAAGGTAAGACATGTAGGTATAATAGAAAAAAGGAAAAAAGGAACGACTTGGAGGAAAGCCCACGTTAAGGAGAAAAATAGTGGAATTAGTGAAGAAACTGTAGCACAGAGAACAATGAGAGGGGATGAAATTGAACCAAAAAGGCATGATAGACGGTTTTAAAAGAGGCATGAGTAATTTGTGTGAAATATCTAAACCTGTCACCCATTCTCCCTAAAGAAGTCAAGGAGAATGAGAGCTTCAAAAGACACCTTATATTTGGAAGTTAGGTGATCTCTGGGTGAAAACCTCTAGTAAGGAGTTAAGGAGTGAGTGACCTTTAAGGAAATGAAACTGATAAGAGGAGCATGGTCTTGAGGAAATCAAACATTGAAAGATAGAGTAGAAGTTTAAGTATATATAAATGATTGTCCTGTAACATTTAAAATTCTCTTAATTACATTTTATAGGACTTGTTTTCAGACCCCTGACTGGAGAATGTAAGAAGAAGTTGCCCCAAATCTGTCACTAAAGCAGTGGCTGCAGCTCTAATCAAGCCTAAATAGACAGAATTATACTCCCCAGTCAGCCTCAGAGCCTAGTCTTTATTAGATGAGTTTAAGAAAGTAAGCTTCTTGCAGTGTATTAGCCAATGATAGACAACAGGATCTAACCAATCGTGCGTACAGAGAAAGAAAACCACTGAAGAATAATAACAGTGATTGAGTAGGTGAACTCTTCTAAGGGTCCAAGTTTTTCAATCACATTACTCATTAAACAGGCAAGTGCCTGCTCTTTCCTTCAGGGGAAAGAATAATGATGGGCAACACCCTTCTCTCAGAAGAGATAAATCATTTTGAAGGTGTAGACAAGGAAAGTGACAAACCATGCTGTAGGTTTTTGTTTTGTAACTGAAGAATCTGGTTCCGAAATATTTAAGAAACTGTAGATTATTCAAATGTGAAATGCTATCTTGAGGACAGCTGTCCAAGAGATAGGTGTGGTGTTGTAGACAGAACCATTCTAATGAAGTCTAAAGGTCTGGATGTGAATTTTGGATCTGCTGGTGTTCTTGGCCAAATCACTTGGCTTTTGCATCAAAATTTCTTTAATTGGAAAATGAAGAAACTCATATCCAATATCCATCTGTCATGGATTGAATTGTGTCCCCCCAAAAATGTGTGTAGCAACTTGGCTGGGTCATGATTCCTGGTATTGTATGATGGTGTTATCTGATGTGATTTCCTTATGTGTTGTAAACTCTACCACTATGATGAGATTATATGTGATCTCCTCATGTGTTGTAAATTCTATCACTGTGATGAGGTTATACTGATGAGATTGACAAGATTAGTGTCTTAATGCAATCTCTTTTGAGATATAAAAGAGACAAGTGAGCAGAGACACATGGGAACCTCATACCACCAAGAAAACAGTGCTGGGAGCAGAGTGCGTCCTTTGGACCTGAGGTTCCTGCACAGAGAAGCTCCCAGACCAAAGGAAGACTGATGACATGAACTTTCCTCAGAGCCAATGGAGAAAGTGTTCCCCTGGAGCTGATGCCCTGAATTTGGACTTGTAGCCTACTGGACTATGAGAGAATAAATTTCTCTTTGTTAAAACCATCCAATTGTGGTATCTCTGTTAGAGCAGCACTAGATGACTGAGACACCATCTGACAATATGAGATGGCACAGAAATTTTAAAATGCTAGACCTATCTAATATGATATTATGCTAGATGAGGCTCACCATGGTTGAGTGATTAGAAAGGCCTTTTAAGTCAAAATCCCACACTTTGTGATAAACTGATACTCTCATTTGAGACATCTAAGTAAAGACTTTTATTTGATTTTCAGTTTTTGCTTATTTGAGGTAGGGGGAAAAAAAGTATGAGGTATCTACTTTTGAAAATGTTTTGTAAATATATTTGTTAAAAGCCAAATGCACACGGTACAAATACATATTCAGATGCTTTAACTCTGCATCCAAATTTTGCTGAGCTAAAATATATTTAAAGCACTAATTTCTTATTTAGTTAGATACGAATCAGTTAAATTTATTGCATTTCTGCCTTCAAAGGTTGTTTTGCTTCTTCTGTGAGCTAAGGTATCTTGAATTTCATTCTATTTGCCCTAAAGAAGAAAATGAATACCTGGTGAATCATGTCAACTTAGACATGCTTGCTGAAAGAATGCAAATCAGAAAATTATAAGAAGATTAAATTAATTACGGGTGGAGTAGGTTATTCCACTTCCAGGATATTTATCTAGAATTATTTCAGTTGATCTACTTTTTATTTTATGTTTTAACTATATATTAAGTTACAATCAGGTTGAAAAGGAGTCAGCTTATGGCAAGAGTCATTATTAGATATAGATATGCTTTCAAAAAACATTTTAAGAACCAGATTGTTTCATTAAGTTAGAACATTTCAATAATTTGAAGTTAATGTTCAATTTTCTAAATTCCCTTTCCTTTTCTAATATTTGAGTTAGATAAATTCTAAACATTTAGAATGATAAAACTAAGATTAAAAATGCATACTCCTAGTTTCATGGGACAACTCAGTCAACTGGCATAACATAGTTCATAAGCTTTATGTTTTACAGCCTAGTTTGGTGAATAGCATCTGAGGTCTTAAAAGCTTGTGAGTGACCATCTAAGGTACAACTACTGGCCTGTACTCCTCTGGAGTGAAAGAGAAAGGAGGAAACCAAAGACTTAAAGAAGAATCAGTCTACAGGACCAATAGCCTACACGAACCACGGCCTCATCTATCCTGAGACCAGAAGAATTAGATGGTGCCTGGCTACCACTACTAACCATTCTAATCAGGGACACAATAAATGGTGATAGAGAGAATGGGAGAAAAATGTAGAACAAAATGTAAATTCTTAAAGAAGGCCAGACTTACTGGGCTGGTAGAGACTAGATGAATCCCTGAGAGTATCTTCCTGAGATACCCTTTAAACTTTGTACTAAAACCACACCTGGAGGTCATCTTACAGGTAAATAACAGATTGGTTCATAAAATAAACAATATCATCTGTGAGTATTGTGCTCCTTTAAAACATCATCTATGTGAGACCAAATGGTCAACATTTACTCTAAAGAAAAATGAGAAGGCAATGGGTGGGGGGAGTCAGGGAAGCTAGATTAATGGAAACAGAACAACCAGAATGGAAATAATGAGAATACTGACACATCGTGAAAAACTTAACCACAGTCACTGAACAATATGTATAGAAATTGTTAAATGCAAACCTAATTTGCTGTGTAAACTTTATCAAAAACACAGTAACATATTATAATTTAAAAAATGCATACTAACCACGTGGAGCCAGAAAGACCAGCAATGTAGGTGGCACAATCCAAAATCCCTGATTCATACAGCGCCTTCATCACACCAGAGAATCCCACCATGGCTCGGAAGCCCCCACCTGAGCCCAATATGGCCACCACGGGCACCTGGAATGATAAAACAAAGATCTCACATGCAAAGTAAAAATCATTAATATATTTCCTTTTGGTCTCAATTTTTATATTGTGCATTCACATTTATCATAAAGGGCTGTAAGTTCACTCATACCTTGATGTTATCTAATTTTTTCAAAGAAAAAGATAACATTTCATGTAAGAAAATCAAGAATCAATATTTACTGGGAAGCAGACATTATTAAAATGACCAACTTACACTGTTTATTACTAATAACAACAATGACACTTGATAGTTGTTCGACATCTTGCAGTTTTTGGCTTGCTTTCAGGTGCACTGTTTTACTTCATCCCCTCAGAAACCCGGTAAGGTGTGCATAAGGGAACTACCTGTCCATTTTACAGATGAAAGTTCTCAAAGGATGGTGTTACCTGCTTAAGATCAGTTAGCTGGTAATCTGGAGTTGAATAAGCACTTTACCTTTTTATTCTCAGCCCAGAATCTGTACTGCTCTTTTATGCTGACTTATTTCAAGAAAAATGCTATTATTCAAACTATAAAAAAACACTTGATCAACTTAACAATACCTGTAGATTTTATTCATTTTTTTTAATTCATTCAATAAAATTGATTAAGTAATCTCTGTGTCTCAGGCATTGTGGGTGGATCTGGGCAATATAGTTGATTTATATGAGGCAAAAATATAATAATAACTATGACAATGGTAACAATAGTGATAGATGGCATTCACTGAGCACTTACTATTTGGTAGGGACTTTCTTAGAATTTTACTGAAATTGTCTCGTTTAATCTTTCCCCAAAGCCCTATTAGGTTTCCATTTCACAGATGAGGAAACCAAGACTCGGATGTCAACAGCTTTCAAACGAGTCCAATGTCATATAACCAATAAGTAGTGGAATAAGAATTCAAACCCCAGGAGTTTAACTCCCAAATCCAGGCTCATGCTACTGTGCCTTATTGCAATAAAGTGCTAAGACTGGAATTAGCATGAGGCTCATGGAAGGTGTGGTCAATTCTAATCAGAGCAATAGGAGGGGTTAAGGAAGCTTCACAGACAGAAAAAAGGAGAAACTGGAGCTTAATTTTAAAGACAGGTAGGTATTCCACAGGGAGAGTTGGTAGTAGGGAAAGAGGTTATTCTGACAATAGAAGCATCATTAGTCAGCAATGAGAGATAGGGAAGAAGCATATGCTGGCTGTAACATGGCTAAAACGTGTATGTTTGTTTGGGGACAGTGAAGTTGTCACACTCTTTGTGATCCCTAATCATTATTGCCTAAGAGGCTGGTTGCTTTTCTATCCCTAGGGCAATGCTTCTCAAAGTATTCATCACTTTCATGGAATCCATGTGGTTAAAAATATTTTCACAGTAACTGTAAGAGATGTTATTTGCCTTTTTTCTCTGAGTCTTCCTAAGTGCAAATGGAATTTTCCAGAGAAAAATGATCTATGATATTGCAAATGATTGAATGCAGAAGCAGACAAAAGAACACAGCTGTCTTCTGTTAATTAAGTCAGACAATAAAGATACTTGCAGATATGTACAACAATGCCACTCTTCTCATTATCTGAGGTGGGTGGGAAATATAGTTATTTTCATAAAATATGTTATTATGTTAAAGTATAATGTATTCATTACTATTATTATCTAAAATAAATACTTTACATTTTTTCTCATTTTTAATTTTTAATATGGTAAATATTGATAGAAATAACCCACATAAACAAAGTATCTTTGAAGTTTTTGAAGTTTTGTGTGTGTGTGTTTTGTTTTGTTTTTTTGTTTGTTTTGAGAGGGTAAAGGGGTTCTAGGACCAAACATTTTATAACCGCTGCCCTAGAATATCAGGGACATGGTGAGTATAATCCAAAATCCCCTGGGAAAATTGCCAGTCTATAGAGGTCAATGTAGTGGGGAGAGACAAGGAAGAGAGCAGGCCGAAAGGGGGCGGGCAGGTGGGAATACTCACTGGCGAGACAGAGGCTGATACGGAGGTATAGCCAACTTTCTGGGGTGAGGGCAGGTACTTTATTTGGCTTTGTTTTCCACTAACAACAATTCATCAAGGAACAAATTTTAGATGAAGCAAAAGACAGAGCACGAAGCAATTCAAAGCTTTGTAAGAGATGAAATGACCAGACTCATGTGGGGGAAAGTAGAACCTCATCTGAGTGGAGATACTGTGACTGGAGTGTCAAAGATTTACATGATATCAAAATAATAGCATTGTTTTCAGGTTTTATTTTCTACATTAGTGACAATGTCTAATTTGCAGAATAAGCACACAATTCTCTATATGCACAGATGATGTCAAGCACTTTTGATAGCTCTATCAGATGGATGGGACCCCGGTGGTGCAGTGGTTAAAGAGCTTGGGTGCTCACCAAAAGGTTGACCGTTCAATCCACCAGCTGCTCCTTGGAAACTCTATGGGGCAGTTCTACTCTGCCCTATAGGATCACTATGAGTTGGAATCAACTTGACAGCAACAGGTTTTGTTTTTTGTGTTTTTTTAAATCATATCTCTAACAGCTTTCCTTTTCTTCTGAGACATCAGTGGGGCGCAATGCCCCCTCCTCTCTTCTACCCCTAAAGCTAAGTGTATGAGAAGTGAAACAGAATCAAGACACATTTACAAGCAGAATCTTTAACACTTGGTGACAGATCTGATGTTCGGAGTAACAAGCGGGAAGGAGTATGGTCAGACTGTTAAGGTTTCTGCCTTTGATCACTAGCAGATGATGCTTCCGTGGATGGGGAAAAGATCACAGGGCAGGGAGCCAGGCTGAGGGCGGAACACCACACTCGATCTCAGAAAAGCTGAATACGTAGCATGAATGCATCGTGCTCCAAGTATGCAGAACCTGACCTTTGAGTGTCTACTTACCAATGTGATGTACATATATTCATGGAAGCATTGTTTAGAGCTAGAAGGACCAAAAAGATCCTATAGCGGCCATATATGGAAAAGGAAGTCTGCAGAGGTCTTATCAGGGGTAGACCATTGAATGGAAGGACACCTAGGACTAAATTCTTAATCCAGGGCTCTTTTCTCTAGCATGGAGAGGCCTCAAATTGAAAGCAAATTGGAGACCTCACACTTGAAAGCACACTTGCTAGCATTCAGTGTAACAGCACAATTTAAATTGCTTTGAACCTGCATATACTTAGATGAACATGACGTTTCCAAACATAGATTTAAAATATGTGAATAAAGGAAAATATGTAAGTGCTCAGAAGCTTGTCTGGAGGTGCCAAAATAAGCTAAGCTAAGACACTACAGTGGGTGAGAAAGTGGGTGAATGGAATACAATACAGCATTAAATGCAACAGTAGTAGCAAGGAGGACAGATAAAAATTTAGGACATTAGAACAAGGATGAGGGATTTGAGTTAAGCCTTAAAAAAGTGTTGGGTTTATAGGCAGTTGTAGTAATAATAATAATAATAGCAAATATTTATGACTGCTATGTGCCAAGCAGTGGACCTAAGTTCAGGCCAAGAAAGCTGTCAGCTGGAAAGGGTATGTGATTTTTCAGCCAGCAAACCAGTTTTATTATTGCTGCGGGAAACAGACAAGTGAGTTTGGAAAAATAAGAATATGAAGGGCTTTAAGAAAAAAGATAATATAGCAGGGTTGATAATTACAGGAGGAGGAAGATTGTTCATATTTAAAAATCATTTGGGGGCATTTGGGCCTGTTGGTTTGGTTACTTATAAAATTATATTATTAAAAGTAACATTAAGCTCAATATCAGTAGTTTGGAATAATTAAAAATGATTCTTAGCAACACATTGCACTGTTCATCTCAACACTTAACACACAGATTGGGCTGTTGTTCAGAAGAGATTTAACCAGGGACACTGGATAACTGAACATAAGAGACCTTCTCAAATCCTGGGAAAAAAATTCTCCGTATATCCTTCTTCATATGCCAATAGCCCAACACATAACTATAAATGCTTAATTTATGTTCTTAGGTGTTTTAGTTATCTAATGCAACAGAAATACCACAAGTGGATGGCTTTAACAAAGAGAAATTTATTTTCTCACAGTCTAGGAGGCTAGAGGTCCAATTTCAGGGTGCCAGCTCCGGAGGAAGTTGTCTCTCTGTCGGCGCTGCAGGAAGGTCCTTGTCACAAATCTGACCCTGGTCTACGAGCTTCTCAGTGCAAGGACCCTGCTCTGCTTCTTGGCACTACTTTCTTGTGGTATGAGGTCCCTTCTGCCCCTACTCTCTGCTCACTACTCTCTTTTATGTCTCAAAAGAGATTGATTTATAATACAATGTAATCTTGCAGATGGAGTCTTGCCTCATTAACGTAACTGTCTCTAATCCCGCCTCGTTAACATCATAGAGGTAGGATTTACAACAAATAGGAAAATCACATCAGATGACAAAATGGTAGACAATCACACAATACTGGGAATCTTGGCCTAGCCAAGTTGATATACATTTTTGGGGGGACACAATTCAATCCATAACATTAGGAATTTTCTGGAAACAACCACCTAATAACCTGGAATTCTTGTTTTTATATGACCCATTGTTTTCATTATTGCTTTAAAGTAATTTTGAACAAGGTTTTCTGTTTTTTTGTTTTTTAGGTAAGACTGTTAATTCAGATACTCAAATTGCAGGCAAGAAAAATGTCAGATATTTGTACATAAAAATTGAATAATAAAATAACTGAATAATTGTGCAGATAATAATTACCTTCATTTATTGAGCATGGATTAGTCTATTTTCATGCATTATTTCGTTTTCACAACTCTGTAAGATACTTTTTACTATCCCAATTTTACAGGTATAAGAATGATTGTTCTAAATATTTTTTGAAAATGAAAAAGATAATTTGTCCAGTGTCACGGGGCCAGAAAGTGGTGGCTGTGGATTCAAAGCCAAGTCTGTCAGACTCCAGAGCTGTTTCTCTGTCTCTGAAAACAAATATCTTCTGTTCTGTTCACAGCCAACTTTGTGACCTGAAGCAAAGAAAATTCTCTTTGGG